GGGGAGGGTTCACATGGAAAGAGAGAAGTTGCTTCGCTGACCTCTTTTTAATATTTATTTTATTTTTTATTTTTAAATCATTATTTATTATAGTTTCCAAGTTTCTTATTATACACCCTCTCTAGTCGTCAAAGAGTAAGTAGGATTAACTGTAGTTTCCCAAGCTCTAATTTGAATGGGGAAAAAACATGATCTCCCTTTTACGTTATTCTGAATTTTCACCTATAATTGATTAACCATTCAATTGTGTTTAGTGCTTCTCTGTGGAAAGATATGTAACTATCTTTGCTAAAATAAAATACTGGCTACTTGTTATCTTTTTTCTACAAGGATAATCTTGGATGCTTAGCAGCAATTTGATTCAGAATTTGTGTGTCTGTTGTTCTAGGAAACATGGAAAACTTATTTACTGTGTTGCACTTGCAGCATGGTCTTCTCTTTGCTTGAGCCTAGTATTGTGAGTTTGATGGCTACTGTTGTACCTTATGTCTTATATATAATGTTGTCTTCACTATTGTTTCTTCTTTTTTCATCATTGTGACATTTGAAGTTGAGTTTTGATTTTTTTCCCGCTTTCCTCTCCAGTTGTCATGTACAATAGGTGTATAATACATAGCAAGCGAGGAATGAACTCTGGCAACATTTAGCATATTTGAAGGGCATCTGAACGTTTTATTAAACGAACAAAAAATTAAATGATGTTTGTGAGCATTTCATCATTTTCGTTGTCCTCGTGATCATTCTGGTGTCAGTTAATGGAAGTCGACATAATAGTCAAATTGTTGATACTAGATTGAGGATTCGAATTGAATTTTGGTGTTAGCAATGAGGTATACAGTTTTCTAGATCATTAGTGTTTAGAAATTTCCATTAATCCATACTTCAGCAGCAATTAAACTTTTATCAGAATTTCTCATTAAATTTCCAGCTTGATTTGGTGCATATTGTAGAATTTGTACTTTAATAAGTTGGTTAGTTGTTAGTTTGTTTTCTTGTTTTATTTATTTATTTTGGTAAGATTTCCTTGTCAAATAAAAAAAGTAGTGTGGTGATTTTATAAACTGAGTCGTAGTGCTAGCATATTTCTGTTATCTTGTGTGAGATATATTCATCCTTGTCATTTTGTCTTTTCATAATGGATGCACAGTGGTAAAATTAGAACTGGATACAGATTTTTGGTGGCAATATTCAGAGATACAAAGCACCTAGTGGTACAATGTTATGGAGAAAAATAGGTAAATAGGTATTGATTTCAGTGAAATTGTTCCTCATATTGTTGACTTAAGGACTATTCGTGTGGATGGATATGGCAGCGGCATTATCGATGTTTGTAGTAGCTGCATTTCCCTTAGACCTTACTACGGTATCATTGCCTGTCATTCAGATGGGGTGACATGCAATGATTCAGTTGGGTTAAGTAGTTAATTGTAAGTTGTGAAGTTATTGACTGAAAGAAAGGTCCCAACAAGACTCATGGAGGAAAAGTTTGAACTGAATTGTTTTGTTTTCGATTCGATTTGTAGCCTTGTAGGGTGTTGGATTTGATGTAATATTTTTGTATGATTGCAATTCTTCATGTTCTTAGATACTACAAGGCCGGTGGATTTGTTGCGGAGACGTACTCTTTAGAGCAAAAACCCGTCTTGTGAAGCTCATGAAGTAGGGAATAGGCATTCTGTGGTTCTTGTTAACCAAAATGAGAATGATGATCTTAAGATGAAATAAAGGGAAAGTGGGAACTTGTATTGATTTGAAAAATGAGTTTCCGTTAAGTTTGAGTGATGTTGATTATGTTCGTCTCCGGCTCATTCGGTCGGAATCAAATTTTCCTTGAAACCTTCATAACTTGTGGGAACAAAGAAACAACACAGGCAAACCCAAAAGGGCACAAAAACAAAACGAGAGAAAGAACTAGCCGAACTACAACCAAAGCGTAGCAAAGAAGATCTTCCTCAATCTAACAACAAATCTACAAACAAAGCCTAGCAAAGAAGATCTTCCTCATTCTAACAACAAATTACCCCGGTGGGTTCGGGAGACAATCAGAAATCAACCCTTGAACCAGAGACGGAAGTGGCGTAACTTAGCAGTTCACCGCTCTCAGCCCAATCCTTGCCGCCCTTGCTGCCTCATGGGCAGTACGATTCATGTCTTGGAATCCAGCAGCACTCAACATGTCTTGGACTCCAGCAGCACTCAACTTGCTGAAAACCTGCCGCCAATCTTCTAATCTCATTGATCAGAAGAAATAAGGTTCATGCCCTGTTTTCCACACAGCCATTCACAGTCACTAGTGCCTCAGCAATCAAAGCAGACCGTTTTTGACCTTTGATAGTCTCTAGTGCCTTCGAAAGTGTAGCAAAAAGTAAAAACAAACATTTAACTTGTATCTTTAATCTTTTTTTGTTTGTTTGGCTGCCCTCTATGTCTTTTGGGTAGCTGGTGCCTTCTGACCGTGTTTGTTGTTTTGGCTTTTTGCGCCTTTGCTTGCCTTTTGGCTGTTCATGAAGTATCTTTTCACAGAAATTTTTTAAAAAAAATTCTTTGCCATGATCCATCAAATTCCAAATCAAACAGAAACTTCATCAAATTTAATCGATTTTCCATATTTATATTCAATTTAATATAGTTGAACCACAAAGACATAGATCCAATTTGATATTGGGCTAGGACAGAAAATCAAGTCCAAGTATTGTCCAAGACTTTTTCAAGTTTTCAAAATTCAAAGCCCTAATTATTTGATGCCTGATTACTCGATTAAATAAAATGACCTTGAGAATTGAAACTAAAATAAGTTTTTGGAACTTGGAAGGATGCTCTTTCAAAATTTCAAGATTATTTTGATAAAAACTAAACGAAGGAATTTTTATTTAATTTTCCCAAATACAGTTTATTTAGTGGAAAAGGAAACAAAATAATAACCATGTGCGGGTCATGAAAAAAAGTTGAGCTGGTGAAATTTGGGTGAAAGTGGTAGAGTTGTTGGTATCCAACGTGCTAGTGGTTTGCGATTCAATCTTTCATGACACCGTATGTGTGAGAATACCCCGTCTCCCTTTTTAAATCCGAGTAAAAGTTGAGGTAGTATTGTTAAATTATTTCCAAATTTAAAAAAAAGGAAAAACAGGGTTAGAGAATTAAATAAAATAAAATAAAATAAATACAAAATACAGTGAAGTGGCAGATGGTGGTCTTGTTTAACTCCCAACTGTCTTTCTGTCCTCCAACATTACATTTTCGGAAGACAGTTCAGCATCAAACTTTAATAGCTTCTCCTGTTGCATAGAGATAGATGTTGGTGTCCATTGGCATTGTCTTCTATTTTATCTTCGTTTTCTCCGTCTTTCTGGGAGACTGAAATGTTTCTTGATCTGACCGACCAACTCAACCAAACCCAACGTCTATTAAACACCTTCTTCTTCTTCTGCACTCTCTATGCTGTGTCTCTGAAACCCCATTTCCCTTTTGAGCTCTCTTTCTCTTCTCTCTCTCTCTCTCTCTCTCTCTCTCTCTTCCATTGCTATTCTTGCGCCAACCTCTGTTTCAAAAGACCCCTTGTCCCTCCGCACCTCCTCCAATTCCTCCTCCTCGGATCTCCAGAGAATCTCATTGAACCCACCAAGAGTAAATTCTCTTTTGTTTTCCTCTTTCTCTCTCAAGCATTTCATTTCGTTGGTTTTGTTGATTTCTTGAATCTTTTGCTGCAGATCTTTGGTTCTAAGCTGAAATCAGGGAAGATTGAGCAGACCCAATTGAGACTATTGACTGCTTCCAAGTAAGTTGCTGCATTTCTCACCTATGCTGCTGAACATATTTTTAAGTTCGCTTAATTTGCATTGATATCTATATATATGTTTCAGGTTTCTTGATTTACTTTGTAATTTCCAATCTTCTGCCTTGCCTTTTATGTTCTTTCCAATTGTGGCCATTTGAGCTCCAAATTTACTAAACTTGATTGATTTGAGAAAGGAAATGTTAGTGAGACGAAGTAGGATTTAGTTTGAATGTTCTATTTTTGTGATCATAGTACTGTTAAGGCACAAACAACGTTAAATTTCTGTCCTTTACCCATGAGAATTTTGAAATTTGAAATTGCTGTGAGAAAAAGAAATCCAGAATCAAGGCTAAATTTACTGGTACAATGAGGGATTTTCGTTTTGGTTTTCACACCTCGCTGAAATTCAAGGCTGCTCCTTTATTGGTGAGATCAATATGATGGGTTTACTTGGATCTGTTGGGTGGCATCACAAAGACACTAATTATCTTTGTTTGATGGTTTGTATATAGGAGATGTTTACAATATAAGATTACGACTACATGCAACCTTCGGATTGGTCCTAAGAGATAAGAATGTCTCTATTTTTGTTTAAATCATCATCTAAGTAACCTGTAGAACTCGAAATTTCATAGGTACTGGTTGGTGCTGAAATGTTTTCCTTTTGATATTTGCAGCAATTGTTCAGATTTAACTGCAAAGGCTTCAAGAAAGCCGTTAGGGCTCACTGAAGAACTTAAAAACAACAAACTAGAGAGCGTAGTAGAAACTGATGATGGGAGCTGTTTATTTGAAGATATGAAACGTCGGTTTCTAAGCTTCAAAAAGCATAAATATATGTAAGTGTCCAAGGATTCTGGTCTTGAGGTTCTTCAGCTTAAAGTAAAGTACTCCTGTTCCCTAATTTGGCTTTCATTTTGAATAGGGAAAACTTGGAACATTATCAAAATCTTGCAAAGGGTCAAGCGCCAAAGGTTGTATTATAAATGTGTACTTTTCCTTTCTTCGCCCCATCTTCCCAAATTTAGTCATCAACTGTGTATGTCCATATGTATTGAACGATCTAGGACATCTAGATAGATTCATTTGATGTTTGCCTCAATCTGGTATTGAGTCAGGGAGAATATGTATGTGTACTGATGTTTCTAGAACAGTTCATGGTGATTTCCTGTGCAGATTCTAGGGTATGCCCTTCAACCATTTTGGGATTCCAACCAGGAGAAGCATTTATAGTGCGCAACATTGCGAATTTGGTGCCCTCCTTCGAGGTATATTATAAATACATTTGAATGCTTCACGGAAGGCTAGACATTAATGCCACAAGAAGCTAACACTTGCCAATCAAATGAGATAATATTATTCAATTTATTTTTTTTCCGTTTTTGCAGAGAGGACCCTCAGAAACGAATGCTGCATTAGAATTTTCTGTGAATGCCCTGGAAGTAAGTATTCTGTGAATAAAATCTAAAATAAAATGCCAATTATTTCCTTGCTAGCTCCCTTGAACCTTTTGGTTACACATCCCTGCTTATTGAGTGACAATAGGGAGGTAGGAAATGTGTAGGCACTAGAGACCCACATTGCTGATAAGGAATGGTCTTCCAAGTATTTTAGCATAGGTTCTTAAAGTGTAAGAAATGAAATTATGAATGGGGTTGTGGGGAAAGAACAGCATTAACAAATCTTCATATGACATAGCCATTCATTTTGAATCAACCTTGGGCATAAAAAGGTGGCCAGTCTTTGCTGTATCAGGAAAAGTTGAATCTCTGAGGTTTAGTGTGCTTCTTAATAGAAGAGTGGGAAGAAGATAAGCCGGTTGGAAATCGATTCTAAGCAATAATTATTTTGTAGGTTGAGAACATATTGGTCGTTGGTCACAGCTGCTGTGGAGGCATTCGTGCTCTTATGAGTATGGATGATGAAGTAGAGAAAAGGTTGAGTAAATTTCTTGTTCTGTACTTTTCAAGTAGTGCGTGTGGTCATTGCCTATGTTTGACTTTAAATTTGTTTGTCCAAGAAACAGTCAAGCAATGTTTCTCACTTTGCTAAAAACTCTTTTATGCAGTAGCTTTATCCAAAATTGGGTTGTTGTTGGGAGGGATGCAAGGTTGTGGACAAAGGCTGCTGCCTCCAAGCTCAGTTTTGACCAGCAGTGCAAACACTGTGAGAAGGTAACATTAATCTTTTCTAATTATTTAATATTTCTTTTGTCCTTTTAACTTCTGTGTTTGGAATTGCTTGCCGTAACATAATTGTTCACCATTTGTATTTTTCTTCATTTCATTGGCATAAGCCAAATGAACTTTGAAGTAATTACTCTTATTACTAAGTTCAACACTGCTTCAAGTGATGAATCCTTTGAGTCCGTATATTTAGAAACTCGTATCAGCATTTTGTTTTATTTGTATAGTAAATCTCCTGATTGACGGTTTGGAAAAATTATGTTTGGGGTGAGGGGGGTAGTTTTTAAAGGTTGAAACAAAACAAATCAGAATTGCATCTGATGACATCCCTTAGATATTGTTTGAAAGGTCATTTATTTTAGTCATCATTGACCTCGTACCTATCTGGGAATTAAACCCAATTCTTTCGAAGTCCACGATAAAGTTCTCCTGTTGTGGCATAAATTTGTGTTGCAACTAATAGAGGCTGTTTTATATCATAAAATGAATCACCTGGTTCATAAAATATTTCTCGTATTGAATTGTATCCTTTTGCAGGAGTCAATCAACCGTTCGTTGTTGAACCTGCTCACGTACCCTTGGATAGAAGAGAAAGTGAAGAATGGTATTCTTTCTGTGCATGGTGGTTATTATGACTTTGTTGACTGTACATTTGAAAAATGGACACTGGATTATAAAGAAGACAACTTGAAGGAGAAACACGGCAGAATTTCTGTAAAAAATCATTTGTTTTGGTCTTGATTTCATGTGTGGCCTTGTTGTATCTTATTCCTCAGATAAGTTATTTAAAAAGTTGTTTGTATTATAGGGGCATTAATTTAAGAGAACCGAAAAAATAATGTAGAGTGTGGTGTGTTTTGCACTTGACATAGTTGTATTTAATGTTAAAGTTCACAATTCGTGGAAATGGCGATGCGGGCACCAATTCAGGATTTGATCTTCACTGTTCTTCATTTCATTGCTATGCTATCACCTAATGTTTAGTGATTGGGAATTAGATCGCATTGGATTACATTGGATTGGAGAGGATAACACTAATCCAATGATGTGTACATGATTAAAGGACTGGATTAATTGAAACATGCTTTTACATAGGTTGGTATGATGAGACATAATCCAATCCAACATAGTGTCAAACCTTTTGGTCTAATAAGATTAAGCATAATCCAATCCATGTTGTTTTTAGACAAGCAAACGAGTCCTTAGGGTTGCCAATACGAAATTCAAAGAAATTACAGTTTACTAAGTTCACCACTGCCTGATGTGATGATCCATCTATTTCAGTGAGTATATGTTCAATTCAAACTCCTATCGTGCCTATAGCGATATGTATCTAATCAATATGAACAGGGGAACCTTGC